TGCATTGTCTACCTGTTATTCATCTATCATCAATTAATCCATCTATCTATTCATCCATCCATGATCATTTATTATCCATCATTTATCTTTCTACATCTGTCTGTTATGTGTCTGTCTGCCTATCTACCCACCATCATCATCATTTACCTATTTTCTATCTGTCATCTTCATCATTTGTCTATTCTCTGTCTATAATCATCATTTATCTATTATTTTCTATCTGTATCTATTGTAACCTATCAAACATCATTTATTTATAATCTTTAATCTGTCTAACTCTGTATCTATCATCTGTCTACCTGTCATCCATCTATGTTTATCATGGTTTTTCTACCATCTACTTATGATCGATTTATCTATAGCTATTGATTATCTACAATCTATTTTCTATTATCTATCATCCATCTCTCTACATCGAATCTTGGCAGTGGTTGTCACCTGGGTGATTTTGACGCCAGAGAACACTTGTTAGCTGGGCTGTGCTACGGCATGCAGAGAGTGGAGCCCAGGGGTCTGCTAAACTATGTACAGTGCACAGGACCTCTAGCCCCATATATCCACAGTGAAGAGTCTGAGAAAGCCGGCCACAGGCTAAAGAAACCACTAGTGTACTTTGAAGTTTTCCATACCCTTGCTAAAGTACAGGAAAGCTCTGTTTAGTTTGCTTTGTTAATTTAGGGTGTGTATTAGAAACGTCACAAGGAAATAGAAGCCCACGTTTTTGTTCTGTGGGGAGACACTCGGTGATGTCTGCTGCCGCTTTTGGACATCGCCACTGTGTGGAGGTGCTCCAGGTATCAGGTGGGTGAGGTCCAGGGATGCTGCTCAGCAGCCTGCGGTGCACAGGATGATGCCACAGCAAAGACTTCAAGCCCATCAGGACCGGGACTCCAAGGGGAAACCGGATGTTGCCCAACTTTTTCTCTGGATAAGATGTCCGGGGTGCGTGATGTGTATTAAGGAGCTCAGAGGCTTCTGCTCCGCATGGGGAGAAAAGTGTGTTCACAGGTAGTGGAGATGACAGCTGCTTAGAGGGAGGCGGAGGCAGCCCCCTGCCTGTCTACCCTGCCAATGAGCTGCTTGACAGCAGAGAGAATCTATCTTGAGGAGGCCGGCCTGGGGTGGTGTTCACTGAGTTTCACCTGCCACTCTTCTCTGGGAATACTTGGAAACACAAGGTGAAGATGCCGTGGGAAGGTTGAGGAAGGGGAAGCATTCTCGTGTCTTTCCTCAGGGCATAGAAGGGGCTCTGCTTGCTGCAGTCCCAAGTTGCTCCCACCCAGAAGCTGCTCTCTTGTTACTCAGCAGCGTTTCCCAACTGGGATGATTTCACCCTTAGGGGTCATTGGGTAAGGTCTGGAGGTCTTTCTAGTTGTGACAACTGGGAGGGGGTGAGAGCTCCTGGCATCTGGTGGGTGGAGCCCAGGGATGCTGCTCCACACCCTACAGTGCACAGGATGGGTCCACCACAGAGACCCAGCTATAGTCTATTTATCTATCACCTCTATCAATCTATCATCTGTCTATCATCTCCATCTATCTCTCATGTATGTATCTATATCAACCTATCATGTTTATCTGTTATCTATCTTCCTATCAGCGATCTACTTATTTTATCTATCTCCATCTTGCACTACTATCTATTATCTATATATCTGTCATCTATTTATCTATCACCTATCTCTCCATCCTATCATCTATCTCTATCCCCATCTACGTATCTATCAATTATCTATGTATCTATCAATCACCTATTTATCACCTATCTCTCCATCCTATCATCGATCTCTATCTCCATCTATGTATCTATCAATTATCTATTTATCAATCACCTATTTATCACCTATCTCTCTTTTCATTCTATCTATCATCTATCTGTCCAGCCTATCTATCTCATCTGTCTATCATCTATCTGTGTATCATCTATCATGCATCTACTGACCTATTTCTCTATCCATCATCTATCCATTTACTTATCATCTATCTAAACAGTGGCTCACAGCATAAGAATAATTCTGCCCTTGCCCCCACCAGGGAACACTTTGCCGTGTTTGAGGTCAGTTTTAACTGTTACTGGGAAAGTGTGCTGATGCATCTGGCAAATGGAGCCCAGGGAGGCTGCTCAACATCCTAGAGAGTCCAGCCCCGATGCCACAAATGCCTTGGTGAAAAACTCCAGTAGTAACTTCCATCTAACCGTGGGGAAGGGATCAGGTTGACAAGCACATCATTCTCAACAGTTCAGCAGGCAGGAGCTGTCTGAGTCCTTTGTCAGCGCATCGCCTGTTAGAACACTGGTAAGACCCTTTCCCATAGGATGGTTCCCTTACCCAGCGCAAGAGCACAGCAGTCCACATGTTTTCACTCATAAGTGGGAGTGGAATAATATGTCCACATGGACACAGAGAGTGAATTAATAGGCCTTGGAGATTCAGAAGGGTGAGAGACTGGGAGGATGGTGGGGAATGAGCAGTGACTTAATAGGTACCATGTACACTATTCAGGTGATGGTGATGCTGAAAGCCCAGACTTCACCACAACTCAGTATATCTATGTAACAAAATTGCACTTGTACCCCATAAATTTATACAAATAAAATAAAGTATATCAATCAATAAAATTTGACATATAAACCTGTTTAATACAAATGCAGAAAAAATCATGTTGTTTTTTTCCTTTGCATAACATGTAAAAAAATCAATGAATGTGCCTTCCTGAGGCTTACTATGTCCTGCAGATATCTTACAAAGTCCCAGTAGTCATGAGTTAAATTCTTGCATGTAGCCTGTGGGAGGTCAGAGATAGCCCCCACTGTTTATTAACAGCTCTCGGCCCATCTATGAAGTGGAGGTAAAAACACCATCAATACCTGTCCCCAAGGCTGAGCTAATGCAGGGCAGCCCTCAGCACGGTGCCTGGTACCCACAGACCATGGATCATCCTAGGTATTAATCTAAATCGGGAAGGCCTGGCTGTAGCTTGCATTGATCGCCATTGACAGTTTGGGGAAGAATCTGGTTTCCTTTGCTGTCTCTTTCTGATGGTCACAGAAAGGCTCTTCTTCTCCAAGTAAGTTCACTCATTCAACTCATGCACTCATACAGGCATGCATTCACACATTCATTCACTCATTCAACTCATACAGGCATGCGTTCACACATTCATTCACTCATTCAACTCATACAGGCATGCGTTCACACATTCATTCACTCATTCAACTCATACAGGCATGCATTCACACATTCATTCACTCATTCAACTCATACAGGCCTGCATTCACGCATTCGCATATTCATTCACTTAATTCACTAATGCACGCATGCATGCATTCACACTTTCACTTATTCATTCATTCATACATCCATTAACTTGCCCATGCATTTAATTTATTTATTCACTCATGTATAATACATTAATTCATGACATGTATGCAATCTTCACTCATTCAGTCACGTGTGTGTGCATTAACACACATGCTAGTTGGTTGAGCTCACTCAGGTACTCGTACATATTCATTCACTCACTCATTCATCCACGTATTCACTTGTCATGTATCCTCTTCATGCACTCACACACATTCATTGTTTTATAAATGCATGCCTTCACGTGCTCATTCAATCCTGCATGCATGAATTCATTCACTCACTCACGCAGGCACTCATGAATTCCCTTGTTCACTCCCTCATACGTGCACTTGTACATGCGTGAATTTACTGAAGTCGTCCATGCACTTAGTCACGCATTAATTCACTCACTCATACACTTGGCTCATGCAGGCGTGAATTCATTTGTTCACTCACTTATCCATTCACTCATGCACTCGCTCTTGTGTGCATGAACTCACCTTTCACTCGTTCCAGCACTCATACAGGATGAATTCCCTTGTTCACGCACTCATGCAGTCACTCATGCGTCATAAATTCATTCAGTCATTCATGCACTGTCAGTTACGCATGAAATCACTTGTTCAATCACTCGTGCATTCAACTCATTCATTCACTCATAGATTCATGCCTTCATTCATGCATGTATGCATTCACCTGGTTTTCGGCACAGTCACTCCTCCATGCATATATGTCTAAATTCATTCTTATGTGCATTGGCTCATTCATGCCGTCGACTCACACATTCACCTGTGAATGCATTCATTCCCTCCCTGGCGCAGACACTGATGGTTCATCTATTTCCTCGCTCGTTCATTCACCTGTAGTTGTCCATTCACGCCTCACATGCATTCACACACACGCGTCCTCCACTCATCCATGCAAAGACACCGCGTGCAGACAGCCAGTCACTCACTCGCTATGCATGCAACAGCCGAGGCCTGAACACTCGGTTATTCTCTTTCATGCACTCATTCATTCATTCAGGCGTGCAAGTGTGTACACGTGCATTTTTCATACATTCAGTGAGATCCGGTACAAGCCCTGCCTTCTCCCTCCGAGACGCTACCAGAGGAGCGGCCTCCACCCGGGCTGCGCGCTGGCCTTGGGCCCAGGGCCTTAAGCCATCGCAAACATTTACTTCGGGTCCGGCTGATGGAAGGTTAAATGTCCAAACGGGAAACCGCTGGCTGCAGTGGGGGCCGCGGCGGGAGAGGGGCGGGCGCGGCACGGGGCGCAGCCCGCCGCCGTTCCCGGAGGTCTCTTCCGGGCAGCCCCGGCTGGGCACCATGAGGCGCGCGGGCTTGTTTGCTGGGGGGGCTGCAGCTGGGCGGAGAGACCCGCGCCCGTGGGGGTGGGCGGAGGCGGTGCCGGGCTTCCGGACAGAAGCCAATCGATGCCCTCGGAGCCTCCTGCGCCGGCCCAGGGCAGAGGCTGCCGGAGCTTGGAAGAGGTGCCGGGGGCTGCTGGGGGGTGCAGGGGGCCGTGGGTAGCGGAGGAAGCCTGGGTGCAGGGAACCGCCAGGGTGCGCAGAGGCTGCTCCAACATCTAGAGGTCGGGGGGGGGGTGGTGGCGTACAGCGGGGTGGGGGCGCAACCCGGGGGGGGAGGCTGGGTGCTAGGGGAGGGGCGACGGCTTGGCGTGTAGAGTAGGGGCAAGGGGCGCAGGGCGGTGGAGGTCAGAGGTCGCCCAAGCGTGAAGGAGGGGAGGGTTTTGGGGCGCTTGGGGGTGGGTGTGCCGAGCGGGGGCGCGGAGTGCTGCGGAGTACAGGTCCAGGCGCAACGGGTCGCGGGGACTCCGAGGCTGCCCCAGGACGGAGGACAGATGGGGCGGGGGCGCAGGATGGGAGGCTGGGGGTTGGGAGCGCGGTCTCAAGGCAGAGGCTGTGGTAGCGCAGGGGAAGGGAGACGTGCAGGGCGTGGAACGGATTCGGGGGCGCTCTGGGAGGAGGGCGAGGGGCGCAGGGGTGGGCCTGGGGGGCCTGGAGTGACGGGGGAAGGGGCGTTTGGCCGGTGGGCGCGGGCAGAGGCAGCGCAACCAAGCTCGGAGGAGGTGCAGATCCCGGGGTCCAGGAGCGCAGGGGTGGGCCAGGGAGTGGACGGGGCGGGGTAACCGGGGGGCGCCAGCTGGGGTGGGGAAAGAAGATGCCCAGAACTCCAAGCAGGTGCGCGGGGCGGCGGGGCGGCTGCTCATACCGCAGAGGTCGCTCGGGGTTCCGGGGGCGATGTCGTTGCTGGGCACATGAGTGTTTAGACGCAGCGGGGTCGCAGGTGACAGCGGGGAGGACAGGGGATCAAGGGGATCCTGGCCAGAGGGCAGGAGGCTGACCTGGAGCGCCACGGAGGAAGTGCAGGGAGGCGTCGGAGGAGGCCGGGGTCCCGTGGGGCGCAGTGACACGGGGTGCGTAGCTACCCGGGGGTGAAGCTGGCGGCGCCTGAGGCTCAGGGTGTCGGGACCGCCACGCTGTCGCCCGCAGGCCTGGAAATCCACGCGGGTTCCTGGAGACGGCGCCTCTGCTCTGAGGGTTCCGTGGTGGGGAAGTCTACCCACTGCACCCCGGCGCCCACTGCACGCGGCCCGGAGGACCATGTCGGGTGAGTAGCTCAAGCTCCTTCAGTTCGGCCTGCCTGTTCCTGCCGGCTTGGGTGAGATTGGTCTGCGCTGCGGAGAAACCCAGTTTGACCCAGGACTGCCCCAAATCCGAGTCTCCCCTCATTGACTCACCCAGGTCTCTGTGGGTCTGGAGGGACTGGTCCATCCGACGCTGCTGGAAATACCGGTGGGCTTCAGCTGCTGGGAGGGGGTGATTGGTAGCAAGTGAGGGTGGCGTTGGGATTTCACCAGTTCCACTTGTAAGATGTAGTCCTGGAAGTTTCACTGGGCTCGTTTCTTGGGAATAGCATTGAACTGTCTGAGATTCTCACTGCGTGGAAGGCCGATGGTAAGAAGTCTGTTCTCCTAAAATGGCCCTAAAACTCTGGGAAGAGGCGGTCTTCCGGTTCTTGGAGTTCAGGCCATCGGTTTAATTTCCGTGCCCAGCACAGACGCAGGGATGGCCTGGCTTGGTGGCTCGAGCCTGTAACCCCAGCACTGTGGGAAGCTGAGGCAGCAGGATCGCTTGAGGCCAGGAGTTTGAGACCGTCCTGGACAACATAGGCAGACCACATCTCTAGGAAAAATAAAAATAAAAATTAGCTGGGAGTTGTGGCATGTGCCTGTGGTCCCAGCTACTAGGGAAGGTGAGGTGGGAAGGTCCTGAGCCCAGGAGGTCAAGGAGGCACCACTGCACTCCAGCCTGGGTGACAGAGTGAGATCCTGTCTCCAAAACCACCAAGAAACAAAATAGGAACCCAGGTCAATCCTCCTGCAGGCAGCAGGCAGCAGGCAGCAGGCAGGAAAGGCCGGAAAGGCCTGCCCCTTGAGGACTGGCGAGCCCCATCTCTCTGCACTTGGTTCTGTGGACATCAGATAGACCGGTTGACTTCAGATGCCTAGATATGAGAAGGTAGATTGTACGTCATCCCATAATAAAGATGCTGGTTCTATTTTTTTATCGTTAAATCATTAAGGCACCTCCTTGTACCAGACCAGACTGGATCATTCCTGAGTGCATTTTATGTATTTCTTTTCAAAAAAAAATTTTTTTTAACTTTGTAGAAACAGGGTCTTACTATTATGCCCAGCAGGTAGGCTCAAGCAGTCCTCCTCCTTTGGCCTCTCAAAGTGCTGGGATGACAGGCACGAGCCACCGCACCTGGCACACACAGAACAGATTACTCTTTTATTCAGAGGAGAGATTCAGTAAATCCCAGAGCTGCTTCCATCCTGTTTTCTCCCACTCTGGACTTAGAGAGTAAAATCGTCAGGGGAGGGATCTTGAAGGCTGTTTTCATGAGGTGTACTGGCAAACTCTGTTCCAAGTAATGGCAGAAAAGATTCTCTGTTGTAGGGGTGCGTTCGGAGCTCTCTAAAGTGAAAGCCACATGGTTCCCCAAGCCTGCTAGGGTCTGTAGCTGTGCAGAAAACAAAAGCCACCTTTGAGTAGAGATGGGCTGATAAGGAAGTTGCTAAGGTGATTTTGATGCGTGATTAGAAGATGCCTTGAGTACAGAGGGCAGGCAAGGGATAGAAAGAAACCATTGTCACAGATTCATAAATTCTCAGCCCCTGAGATCTCCAGGCTGGACTTAATTTTGTGACAATAACTCCTTTTTGTGGACTGGAGTGCAGTGACAGATTTTCTTGCTGTGTTTCTACTCCATGCTGCTGCTGAAAGTGCCCCCTTCAAGGCAGCCGCAGCCGCATTGGAGAACTGTGACTGTTCTCCAGCACCACACCAGGACTTGATCTCCAGTTGTTTCTTTGGGGCAAGGCGATGTGGAAGCTAAGCACCTGTCAATCACTGTTCCTGCCACCAAAGTTCCTGTTATGCAGATGAAGCCTCCAGGTAGAAAGCTTCAGAGAGAATAGCTTGTAAATCAGATTTTCAAAGGTGCCAGACTCTTAGTTAGTTATCTTCTGATCTGAAAAAAGGCCTGAAAAGTGAAGGAGATTCTCTACAGAATGCAGATTTTTTTCTCCCTGCCAAAGACAGCTTTGCAGGACCATTCAAAAAATATGTCACATAAATATATTTTGGGGTAAAATACTTGGATTTCTCTCAGGACCTGCTATCTGTCATGTTGGTTATGGCTACAAAGAGTCTGTTTCGTCAGTCTGAAGGTCTCTGTTTTAATGTGAATGCTGGTCAGCCATGCCTGAATTCCAAAGGAAGGTAATGTGAATGCCTGAATTCCAAAGGAAGGAGAACCTAATGATGCATGTCCAACCCCCACTTCCAATTATCGTGTGAACTAGCTTTTCAGGTTTACTTCAGAATGCCTTTGGCTGAGGAGAGGGTCCATTCAGAGGGTTGAATTTTATTATTTTTATTAAGCTATTCAGATGGCATTCTTCTCCATCTGGCCAAGATTTGCCAATTGCAACATCAATGACCACTGAAGTTTAATTTTATTCCATAGCATTGCCAGGATGGCATGACAGCCTGCTCCCCATCCATCCTGTCCCTTTATGGGACTCCCTCTAGCAAAAGTGAGAGAGTAGGAAGGAAGAAACCAGTCAGGCAGACAGTTAGCATGGATCCTCGGTTGAATCCCTTCAAATGAAAGAACAACCTGCAGGCACAGGTAAGGGAACTTGCACAGGGTGGTTGCCCAAGACATGCCCACAGCTGCACAGATAAGAAAGGCCACACAGGTGACTTGCCCAGACATGCCCTCAGTGGAAAACTCTGTGCCTTGACACACATGCAGTAAGCAGAATAAAACAATATGGAGTAACTTAAGCTAAGGGCCTGTGTGTACATTAGGAGAATGTGGAGCTACCAGCAGTTTGCACCGTATCCAAATAAGACGCCCAGTCCTCATAATTACTTATAAAAGCCTTTACATTTAAATGTGAAACATGGCTCTTTTCAGCCCTCTCTGCATGGTGGATAGCTTTCTTCTTTTGCTTATTAAACTTACACTCCAACCTCACCCTTTGTGTCCGTACTGCTTAATTCTCTTGGGGGTGAGATAAATAACTCCAGGTGATACCCTAGGTTTTGTAATCCTAGGCAGTCTTACTTGTTCCCATTGATCATGTCCAATGAACATTTCCCCAAAGGGCAGATTTACGTGCCCTCAGTTTTATAGTATTGGGGGGAGTGTTCCCTACTCAGATACAGTACCCATTTTTATAAGACATTTATGTCAAGAAGTCATAACTAGGGAACGATTCAAGATGGCTGATTGCTAACATCACAGGATTACAGCTCTCAGTGAAAGCGCAGAGAACGAGAGGACACCACACTTTCAGACAAATTTTGGTTGCTCACGGAACAGAAGATTCTAAGTGGAGGAGCCGCATGGGTCGCCAGTGCGACTCTTGTGGCCAGTGCAGCGGTTTTTCTAGCACCTCAGCATGACAGCTCTTGGTGCAGAGTAAACGGGACTGGTTCCCCTTCTGACCAAGGTTCGGAAGAGCAGCACGGGTCACCAGCGCGACTTTTGTGGCCGACATAGCAGCTTTGCCGGCACCTAGGCGCGGCAGCTCTCGGTGCAGAGTAAACGGGACTGGTTCCCCTTCTAACCGAGGTTTGGAGCTCCTGGAAGGCAGAGTCACCTATTACGGACTCAAGAAGGAAGCCAGACTGCAGATTCCCGGGCAGGAGAGGACCATCCGTCTTAACGGTTGTTTTGGCCGGCGCAGTGGGTTGCTCATATTTTGGCCCTGGGAATTAACAACTTGGACGTCCACTCAGAGACCTAATCTGAAAGTCGGTAATTACAAAGACGACGGGTGGATAAATTTACAATGATGGGAAGAAACCAGCATAAAAAGTCTGAGAATACTCAAAACCAGAATGCCTCTCCCTCTAAAGAGGATTGCAGTTCCTCATCAACAAGGAAACAAGGCTTGATGGAGAACGAGTGCATCCCATTAACAGAATCGGGCTTCAGAAGATGGATAATAAGAAACTTCTGTGAGTTAAAAGAACATGTTGTAGCCCAATGTAAAGAAACTAAAAACTTTGAAAAAAGGTTTCACGAAATCCTAATGAGAATAGACAACTTAGAGAGAAATATAAGTGAATTAAGAAAACTGAATAATACAATACGGGAACTCTGAGAAGTATACACAGGTTTAAACATTCGAATTGTTCAAGCAGAAGAAAGGATATCAGAGGTCGAAGTCCAACTTAATGAAATAAAATGAGAAGACAGGATTAGAGAAAAAAGGATAAAAAGGAATGAGCAAAGTCTCCAAGAAATGTGGGACTATGTGAAAAGACCAAATTTATGTTTGATAGGTGTACCTGAATGCGACGGAGAGAATGAATCCAAGCTGGAAAATATTCTTCAGGAAAATTTTCCTAAACTAGCAAAGCAGGACAATATTCAACCCCAGGTAAAACAAAGATGTTCCTCAATAAGAGCAACCCCAAGGCAGATAATCATTAGATTCATCAGGTTGAAATGAAGGAGAAAATACTAAGGGCAGCCAGAGAGAAAGGTCAGGTTACCCACAAAGAAGAGCCTACAGCAGATCTCTCAGCAGAAACCCTATAAGCCAGAAGAGAATGGGGGCCAATATTCAACATCCTCAAAGAACAGACCTTTCAGCCCAGAATTTCATATCCAGCCAAACTAAGCTTCACAACTGAAGGAAAAATAAAATCTTTTATGAACAAGCAAGTACTCAGATTTTATTACCACGAGGCCTGCTTTACAAGAGCTTCTGAAAGAAGCATTACACATAGAAAGAAACAACCAGTATTAGCCTTTCTAAAAATATACCAAAAAGTAAAGAGCATCAACATAAAGAAGAATTTACATCAATGAATGGATATAACAGCCAGTTAACAACAAATGGAAGTAATCCTAAATTTAAGTCGACTAAATCCCCCAATCAAAAGATACAGCCAAAACCCAATGACATGTTACATCCAGACCCATTTCACATGCAAGGCTACACAAAGACTCAAAACAAAGGGATGGAGAAAGATTTACCAACCAAATGGAGAGCAAAAATAAATAAATAAATAAAAAGCAGGAATTGCAATTCTCATATCGGATAAAATAGATTTTAAAGCAACAAAGATATAGTGGTAAAAGGATCAATGCAACAACAAGAGCTAACGATCTTAACACCCAGATACATAGAGACTTAGACTCAATGAGACAGAAAATTAATAAGGATATCAAGGACTCAAACTCAGATCCAGAACAAGTAAACTTAATAAATATGTATAGAGCTCTCCACTTTAAATACACAAAATATACATTCTTGTCAATACCACATCACACCTACTCATAGGTTTAAATGAAATATTGATTGGCCATTATTAATAACTATTTTTTTTTAGAATAAAGCATCATTTCCATTCTCTCTCCCTCTTTTTCTTCCTCTTTCTTCCTCTCCTTCACTCCTTTTTTTTTCTTTCCTTCTCTCAAAAACAGAAGAAAAGAAATCAATCTGTAGACCTCTAGATCCAGGTCATCAATGTCTCTCTCATTGCCTGATTTCCTTCTTTCCCTTCTCTCCCTCCCTCCCTCCCTTTCTCCCTCTCTCCCTCCCTGTCTTTCTCCCTTCCTCCCTCCCTCCCTTCTTCCTTTCCTCCCTTCCTGCCTTCCTCCCTTCCTGTCTTCCTCCCTTCCTCCCTTCCCTCCTTCCTACAAAAACAAAACAAAACAAAACAAAAAACAAGCAAACAAAGTCATACTATCAAACACGAAGCCTGTTTAAACATCTCAAATTTTTTACTCCTACCAACCCTTACATTCTTAAATATCTGGTCCCAGGGACTTTATTTCCCTACCTCCTCTCCAGTGAAAAAGGGTTTGGGTTTTTGCAGCACAGGGTTGAGCCAAGAGACTCCTGCCCTTTTGTCAATATTTATCTTGACTCGCCTGAGGCAATGTCAATATTGTCATTAAAACCTTTGACTTTTGATTTTTCTTTTTCCTGAGACAGGGTTTTGCTCTGTCACCCAGGCTGGAGTGCAGTAGCACGATCTCAGCTCACTGCTACTTCTGCCTCCTGGGTTCAAGTGATTCTCCTGCCTCAGCCTCCCAAATAGCTGG